CTATTTTGTAGAGAGGAACATTCAAGTCACGTGAGCCCCTGTTCTGCGATCTCAAAGCTATTTCATTCCTGTTACTATCAGCACGGCTGGGGTGGGAGAGAACGGCCACCGTCCCTTGAACAAAGGAGGGCTTGGCAGCCACAGAGGCCACAGTGTGTGGTTACGGCCCATTGCTGCCCGTGAACCCACCACTGACACCCTTCGCGGACCCACCTGCTCGGGCAAGTGAGTGGACACGGGGAGCAACAGCCACTGACCTGCCTCTGCTCATCCTTTTGGCGTGGTGGTGAGAACTGGGGCCCCGCGGGACCGAACTCCCACTGCCACCCAGAGCAGAGAGCAGACGAGTGAGTTCTGGCTCTCTGAGCAAGTGAGCAGAGAGCATCGAGGGGAGCAGCCCATCCTGTGAACAGCCCCCATCCCCCCAAAAAGCCAGACCCAAACCACAAGCCGGCTCACTCACAGAGTTCGGGTTCTTCCAGAGCCCTCGATACGTACGTGCTCGTCCGCTCCCCAATTCAGCCCTTCCAGAATGACGCAGGCGAGCTTGTTCTCGACGGCGGTCAAGTTGTAATCCAGCAGCCAGTTGCGGATCAGAGCCACTTCCGAAGCGGACGGCTTCCAGAGGTGCATCGGGAGTTCTTTAAATAAATAAAGGGAAACCTTAAAAGGAAAAAAAAGGAGAAGATTTGGATTTATACCCCACCCTTGACTCGGGGTCTCAGAGCAGCTTACAATCTCCTTCCCTTCCTCTCCCCACAAAAGACACCCTGTGAGGTAGGGGGGGCTGAGAGAGCTTTGAGAGAACTGTGACTGACCCAAGGTCACCCAGCTGGCTGCATGTGGAGGAGTGGGGAATTAAACCCGGTTCTCCAGGTTAGAGTCCACCGCTCCCGCCCACTACACCAAACCGGTTCTTATGGCTTATGGCTTGCCTTATGGCTACCCAGATCAGACAGGAAACCTCAGAAGCCAAGGGATTGGGTGCATAAGATCCCCACTGGCGAAGGAACAATGTCACAGATCCTTTCCCCTCCCCACCACAAGGAGAATAAAATAATTAAAAATAATGAGTGGGTACAGAATGTGTTGCTTGTGGAGACAGTGAAATGTCACATGCGCCAGGACCTCAACCAGTTAATGCTGGCGTCCAGTGAAGGAACAGGCTAAAATGTTTTGCAATACTTTTAGGACAGATGCCTTTGGGATTTCGTTGAGTGTGCCTTTGGTGTCTGGACACCCACATGTTAACTTGAACAACTAGGGTTACCAACTTCCGGGTGTCTGAGGGGGTAGAGTTCTCCCAGAATTATAACTGATCTCCAGATTACAGATATTGTTTTCCCTGGAGGAAATGGTTTACTATGGAGACAAGGAAAAACAGAAGGCCTAAAATGACATTGTACTCTCATTATTCCTGCCAACCTGGCAGTTCGAAAGCAAGAAATTGCAAGTAGATAAATAGGTACCAAGGAGCTGCGGTGGCTCAAGTGGTTAAGACGTTGAACTGCAGACTGTGGAAGGTCAGTAGTTCAGCGGTTCAAGACCCGGGTGCCGCAAGACAGGGTGAGTTCCTGTTTCTAGTTCCAGCTCCTGCCAACCTAGCAGTTCGAAAGCAAGAAATTGCAAGTAGATAAATAGGTACCACTTCGGTGGGAAGGTAACAGCGTTCCGTGCGCCTTGGTGTTTAGTCATGCCGGCCACATGACCACGGAAACGTCTTTGGACAGCGCTGGCTCTTCGGCTTTGAAACGGAGATGAGCACCGCAACCCTAGAGTCGGACTCGACTGGCTTTCGAGCAAGGGAACCTTTACCTTTACAGAATACAGAAGGCCCCACACTCAACCCCCGGCATCTCCAGTTAAAAGGACCAGCCAGTAGACGATCTGAAAGGCCTCTGCCTGAGACCCTGGAGAGCCGCTGCCAGTCTGGGTAGGCAATACTGACCTTGAGAGGTCAATGGTGTAAAACGGATTCAGGTGATCATATTCACAGAGGGGGGCCGTGGCTCAGTGGCAGAGCCTCTGCTTGTCATACAGAAGGTCCCAGGTCCAACCCCTGGCATCTCCAGTTAAAGGAGAAGGGAGTACATGATGTTTCTACATGAAACTGGAGAGCTGCTGCCAGTCTGAGTAGGCAATAATGACCTTGAGAGACCAAGAGTCTGATCCAGTGTTACTATGCCCATGTGTGCAATTTTGGCTGGGTATTTGTTTTGCTTTTTCCCAAAGCACTCTGTTACTTTTCTCAAAGAACACCACCCTGTTCTACGGCCATTCTCTAGATACATAAGAGCCAGTGTTGGGTCAGGTCAATGGCCCATCCAGTCCAACACTCGTGTCACACACCGTGGCCAGAAATACCAGGTGCCATCAGGAGGTCCAGCAGTGGGGCCAGGACACTAGAAGCCCTCTCACTGTTGCCACCCAAGCAGCAAGAACATAAGAACATAAGATAAGCCAATGTTGGATCAGGCCAATGGCCCATCCAGTCCAACACTCATGTCACACAGTGGCCAGAAATACCAGGTGCCATCAGGAGGTCCACCAGTGGGGCCAGGACACTAGAAGCCCTCCCACTGTTGCCACGCAAGCACCAAGAACATAAGAACATAAGATAAGCCAATGTTGGATCAGGCCAATGGCCCATCCAGTCCAAAATCTCCAGTTAAAAGGACCAGGCAATAGGCGATCTGAAAGGCCTCTGCCTGAGACCCTGGAGAGCCGCTGCCAGTCTGGGTAGGCAATACTGACCTTGAGAGGTCAATGGTGTAAAACGGATTCAGGTGATCATATTCACAGAGGGGGGCCGTGGCTCAGTGGCAGAGCCTCTGCTTGTCATACAGAAGGTCCCAGGTCCAACCCCTGGCATCTCCAGTTAAAGGAGAAGGGAGTACATGATGTTTCTACATGAAACTGGAGAGCTGCTGCCAGTCTGAGTAGGCAATACTGACCTTGAGGGACCAAGAGTCTGATCCAGTGTTACTATGCCCATGTGTGCAATTTTGGCTGGGTATTTGTTTTGCTTTTTCCCAAAGCACCCTGTTACTTTTCTCAAAGCACACCACCCTGTTCTACGGCCGTTCTGTAGACACGAGTACATAAGAACAGAAGAGAACCCAGTGTTGGGTCAGGCCAATGGCCCATCCAGCCAAACATTCATATCACACACCGTGGCCAGAAATACCAGGTGCCATCAGGAGGTCCAGCAGTGGGGCCAGGACACTAGAAGCCCTCCCACTGTTGCTACCCAAGCAGCAAGTACATAAGAACATAAGCCAATGTTGGGTCAGCAGAAATACCAGGTGCCACCAGGAGGTCCAGCAGTGGGGCCAGGACACTAGAAGCCCCCCCACTATTGCCTCCTCCCCCAAAGCTCTAAGAATACAGAGCATCACTTGCCCCAGACTGAGAGTTCCTATCTATACCTTATGGCTAATAGCCACTGATGGACCACTGCTCCATATGCTTATCTAATTCCCTCTGGAAGCTGTCCATGCTTGTAGCTGCCACCACCTCCTGTGGCAGTGAATCCCATGTGTTAATCACTCTTTGGGTGAAGAAGGACTTCCTTTGATCCGTTCTAACCTGACTGCTCAGCAATTCCATGGAGTGCCCACGAGTTCTTGGCTTGTGAGAAAGGGAGGAAAGGACTGCGGCACGGACTGCCTCTTACCATGCCCACCGTTTCAATGGTCTCTTGGACTCGGTCCAGCAACACAGAAATCATGCCGGTGTGGACCGCCGTGATGGAGCTGAGGAGCTCCCGGCCGACCTTTGAAAACGTCTCTCTTGTGGAAAGGTTGACGTAGGACACCTTAGGAGAAAAATAGAAGAAGAGAAGGGGGGGGTTGGTTTGGTGTTTTTTTTTAAAGTACATACAGGGAACATTACTGTAGCAGATAAAATTTCAACATACTTCCAGGAAACGGAAGCCCCTATCTAAATCCTAACTTCAGGGGAAAGTGTCCCTCTTTTTGCAGGGGGCTATACTCTGGAAACAGGAAAGCAACGAAGCAGCACAAAACACAAAGCCCAAACCCAGAGAGGGCTTTACTGCTCCCACTTCGGACAGAAAGACTGAGAGGCAGCAGTCAGAACAAAGCCATCTACCGAGGTTGATGTCAGAAGCACGATTTGAATCAGGGACGCGCTCCTCTTCAACCCCCCGGCTCACAGCACCTCTCAGACCGGAGCGTTCCGCCTCCTCCCCGAAGCCCCGACTACTCCCCTCCTCCCGAGGGTGTCTCGCCTCGCTCACCTCGTAGATCTCCAGCACGATGACTCGGACAAAATCCTCATCCGCGTCCTCCCGCTTGGTCTGGGCCATCTGGGCAAACGTCGTCAGCAGGCAGATTTCCTCGGAGCCGTTCATCGACTGCAGGGACTTGGTGAACTTCTCCAGGTGGGCTGGGTCTGGCGACAGCGGGGAAGAGACGGGTTCTATTTTGTAGACCCAAACACCAAATACCTTCTCGGAACATGCTTTTTTAAAAAAAACCTCTGTATTATGATAGACAGAATGAAAACATATCGAGATGGGTAGCCGTGTTATTCTGTTTGTACCAAGAGAAAAGAGAAAGAGTCCAGGAAAAAGTAAAAAGATAAAGGTTCCCTTGCTCCAAAGCCAGTCGAGTCCGACTCTAGGGTTGCGGTGCTCATCTCCGTTTCAAAGCCGAAGAGCCAGCGCTGTCCAAAGACGTTTCCATGGTCATGTGGCCGGCATGACTAAACACCAAGGCGCACGGAACGCTGTTACCTTCCCACCGAGGTGGTACCTATTGATCTACTTGCAATTTCTTGCTTTCTTTTTTTTTTTTTTT